ATAGAGGTTAGGGTTCGCTGAAGGGATCATATATCCAGTCTGGATTGGGAACACATCGGGGTCCCCCAGGAGGATCTGGGGAGAGGGATGATAATTCATTATGAGACTTTATTATCTGACCTTTTCATCATCATATCTGTTGTAATGGTTGAACTGATCCACGTGGTCACTATATCATCGATGGTTTCTCCTCCCTTTAGGTGGAGGTGTCTCTGGAATGCGGGCGGATCGTGATCTACACCACGAGTTTCCGTGTGGTGAGGACGACCTTCGAGCGCTGTGAACTCGTGCGTAAGATCTTCCAGAACCACCGAGTGAAGTTTGCGGAGAAGAACATCGCCCTGGACATCGAGTACGGGAAGGATCTGGAGGAGCGCTGCAAACGTGTGGGAGAGCCTCCTTCATTACCGGTGGTGTTCATCGACGGTCACTACCTGGGGGTCAGTTTCTCTCTGATGATGATGTCATGTCTTTGATTCATGAGGTCATCAGTAACGCTGCACTTACTTTGCAGGGGGCGGAGAAAATACTCGGCATGAACGAATCAGGAGAACTTCAGGACCTGTTGACTAAAATAGAGGTTGGTGTTCAGTGTTTTGTTATCACCGATGGGTCATGTGGGGGTCAGGTTGATTACAGACGCTAAACGTCAGACACAATGAAGTCCCTGGGAAACCCTGTAGGACGGGGTAACGAATAATACACAACAAACTGGCAACATGAGGGAGGAAACATGGAGGGTTAAATACACGGACAATCAGAACGAGACGCAGATGAGGTCAATCAATAAACCAATCAATCAATAAACCAACTAATCAAAAAACCAATCAACCAACCAATCAACCAACCAACCAATCAATAAACCAACCAACCAACCAATCAACCAACCAACCAATCAACCAATCAATAAACCAACCAATCAATCAACCAATCAATAAACCAACCAACCAACCAACCAACCAACCAATCAACCAACCAAACAATCAATAAACCAATCAATCAATAAACCAACTAATAAAAAAACCAATCAACCAACCAATCAACCAACCAACCAATCAATAAACCAACCAACCAACCAATCAACCAACCAACCAATCAACCAATCAATAAACCAACCAACCAATCAACCAATCAATAAACCAACCAACCAACCAACCAACCAATCAACCAACCAAACAATCAATAAACCAACCAACCAATAAACCAACCAACCAATCAACCAACCAACCAAACAATCAATAAACCAACCAATCAATCAACCAACCAACCAACCAATAAACCAACCAACCAACCAAACAATCAATAAACCAACCAATCAATCAACCAACCAACCAACCAATCAACCAACCAACCAACCAATCAACCAATCAATAAACCAACCAATCAATCAACCAACCAACCAACCAATCAACCAACCAACCAACCAACCAATCAACCAATCAATAAACCAACCAACCAACCAACCAAACAATCAATAAACCAACCAATCAATAAACCAACCAACCAATCAACCAACCAACCAATCAATCAACCAATAAACCAACAGACCAATCAACCAATCAATAAACGAACCAATCAACCAACCAAACAATCACCAACTAATCAATCTTTATTTGTATAGCGTCAACTCATAACAAGTGTTATCTGGAGACACTTAACAAAGAGCAGGTAAAATACTTGTTGCTATATTACAAGGACTCAGCTTTAATCCATCATGAGCACTTTAGCAAAGCAGTAAAAGTAACAGTGGTAACTTGGTGCGAGCTGTCGTTTCCCCTCACCATGTCATCAATAAAACATGCACAAGCTGGAATGTCAAAGATGCATGCACGTCGATAAATGACCATCAATAATGGAGGGCTTTTTATTGATTCAGCCTCCAACACATTTGTTCAAACACGCCGGCGTTGGGCTCCTCGCGCTGCGAACAAACTGAGGTTTGTGTTTTCACTCTGAGCTCAGTTCTCAGGCGCTGCTCGTAATTCACAGCCAACAATAGTCTTCATAAGCCCGCACAAAGACGTGTTATGACATTTAAGTCGTGCATTCCAGTCACCGCGGGCTATTAAAAACGTGTGCAGCGCTGAAAGGTCATGCATACACTAATCAGTCAGGATTCAGCCGGCCACACGGCGTCATTATGCTGAAAGAAATCCACAAAAACAAAAAGCTGAAAGAAATCCACCAAAAACAAAAAGCTGAGCAGCTTTACTTTAGGAGAAGTCTGTATTTTATTTTGAAGGAGGAAGCTGCTGACTCTGTCTTTACTTTGGGAGAAGTCTGTATTTTATTTTGAAGGAGGAAGCTGCTGACTCTGTCTTTACTTTGGGAGAAGTCTGTATTTTATTTTGAAGGAGGAAGCTGCTGTCTGTCTTTACTTTAGGAGAAGTCTGTATTTTATTTTGAAGGAGGAAGCTGTAAAGTGAAGTATGGGGGGATTTCAGGTGTCTTCTCTGAAAAGTGAAATAAATATAAAATGTTTGTCTTTTGTTTCAGAGGGTCCAGCATCCCCAGACGTGCCAGACCTGTGGGGGCTTCGCCTTCGTCCCGTGCCCAACGTGCCATGGCAGCAAGATGTCCGTGTTTCGAAACTGCTTCACGGATTCCTTCAAAGCCCTCAAGTGTACTTCCTGTAACGAGAACGGTCTGCGTCCCTGTTCGAGCTGCAGCCAGTGACCATGTTCTCTCCATCGCTAAGCGTGACGCAGCTCAGCAGGACTCCTCTTTCAACGCCATGAACAAAGAGATTCGTAATAAAATGTGTGAATGAACGGTTTGTGTCCACGTGGTCGTCTCTCAGAAGCGTGACGCTGTGACCACGTGGTCGTCTCTCAGAAGCGTGACGCTTTGTTCAGTTTTTCTCTCCTAACCGGACTCTGATTCACTCGCCGGTCTCTCCTAACCGGACTCTGATTCACCTGCCGGTCTCTCCTAACCGGACTCTGATTCACTCGCCGGTCTCTCCTAACCGGACTCTGATTCACCTGCCGGTCTCTCCTAACCGGACTCTGATTCACCTGCCGGTCTCTGATTCTGTAATAAAGACCTGGCTGCCATTTTTAATTCAAATCAAACTTTATTTATTCTCAAAGAACATCGAGGTTTCCTTTATTTACAACAAGTTACATTAAAACAACAACAACAACAAACACACTCATAACCAATTACAAAAACTACTGAGATCCATTTAAACACTAGAAATCAAAATCTTAAACTCTGTGAGAGCGGGAAGAATCCGATCTTTAGAGTCCGCTGGAGGGCGCTGCATGAGTTCAAGAACAAGCCAATCAGAAGACCCTGTCATGTGACAGGTCTGTGAAGTCAGGTGGAAGTTTGAAAATATATAAAAACTAAAGCTTTGGCCTCTCAGCTCCTCTGATTCCTGCAGATTTTTAATCGCCAAAGACTCTTTGAGAATGTATCTGTTAAAACATGCAGCTACATCCGGTTACTAAAAGGGGCGGGGCCTTAAATTAGGATTTATAGATGAAGATATTTGTCTTAGGGTGTTTTAGTTTTCAGTTGCATAATTCATAAAAAAACTAAAAAATCACATTTCATTTTCAGAATAAAAACAAAAGAAGAGCAGAGTCTGATCCAAAGCCTGATCCGGGTGTGTTGATGTTTCTGAGTCCACAAAGACTGAGAGTCCTTTCTCTGGTTTTTAGTAAATAAATGTCAGAGTCCTCTCGTGTTGGGGGTTTGAAGGGATGATGTCATTGATTGGCTGAAGGGTCACAGACGCAGCTCTCTGTGTCGTCATAGCCCTGTACAATGCTGCTTGAACATGATTAGACAAGGCAGCACTGTAAAGAGGCTGACAGCACCGAGCAGAAGATCCACCATCAAGACTCTCCACCTGGACCTGTGATCGAAACAGAAACCAGATCGATAAGTCATTACTGAAAAAGGTTAATGAGGGGGGGTCTGCACGGCCAATGGGAGGGGAGCACATCTCTCCTGCTCTAAATCTCGGTGCTTCACCGACGAGGAGCCTGGTGGTGATGGAGGCATGAAGATCCGACACCCGGACTGTGCAGGTTCACTGCGCCCCCCTCTGTAGGCTGCAGGAGACATATATAAGGGGGGGGGGGAGACATGAGAATGCATCGATGATTCTGACGTTCAAACATTTTCACTAAACAGATGAGCGACACAGACGAGCCGTTATCACCGTGCATTAACGAGCCTGTGCTTTCTCTGCGGAGGGGGGAGGGGGGAGGGGGAGAGGGGGGAGACAGAGACATGGAAGGAAAGACGACGGGCAGCGGTTCAGGGGAATGACATGACGAGACATGAAGAGAACATTAAACGGTGTAAAAACCTGCAGTGCCGCCGGGTCCGCGCTGGTTCCGCTCTCCGGGGCTCCGGGTCGAGTAGTGGATCGTGGTCCGGCCGAGATGCTGTGCGTAATGTTTTGAACGCTCGGTCACTGCGCACACTGGTTGGAAATGAATGTTTTTATTGACGTCAGCGTGCAGGATAGTGCACCCCCTTTCTCTCATCCCGACAACTGCACCCTCTAACGGACTCGGGGTAACATGCCAGTCTAAACCATCCACATCTCATCTTACCTTTATCTGTCCCTGATGCGTTCAAATGCTCTTCAGTAAATCTGAAGGAGTAAATCATCACTTAAAGAGTCCTGCAGGCAGAACTTGATTAAAGCAGAAATAATGTTTTCATATTTTTTACTGATTAGACAAAACGCATGTTGTCTCAGGGAGCGGGACGTGACCAGACTTCTGATTTATGAAGTGGGCGGGGGGGGGGGGGGGGGGCACATACACACATACATATTTTTTATTTACCTTTTCCATCTCCATTCATCATATCTACTGGGACTCCTTACAATAACACATCACACATGTTTTATTAATAACTTCAACAAACAGAGTCTTCAGAGCTTCATTAAAGGTCCAATCAGAGAGCTGTGTAGAGAGTGAGATGATAAAGGTATCTTACTCTCTGATCATTAAGGAAACATGCTATGTTGAAGTGCTGGCTTCTCTGACAACAATGCAGCAGCCAGTATGTCCTCCTTCTAACTTTAGATTCTGCTCCTGAATGCTCTGGATTTGTTTGGACCAGAGAAGGTAGGTGGTTTTAAGACCCCCCTCACACGGCCGTTTTGGACGCCCCTCGGTTTGCCAGATATGAGAGCAGTTATCAGGTCAACAGGTGTTGCAGTGATGGAAGCAGTCAAGAGAAGTGGTTCAGATAGAAGTGATTGTACCCGACCTAAAAAGCCTCTGCATGTTTCTAATAAGCTCCACGAGCAGAAACGTGCTCAAACTAGGATCAATATTGGAGATGCTTTTGAAAAATGGAGAGAGGTTAGAACACAGAAAGGTTTACAGACCCATGCAGAGCTGGATAAACACTGAAGCTTCAGAGTCCACCACATGGTGACCTGAGTGAGCATCCACTCTACAGAGGAGGGGGGGGAGGAGACAGCTCTCTATGATGTTTAGAATTTAGACTGCAGTACACATTTTAAACACTAGGGGTCAGAGATACATACTGCTCCTTTAATGAGTCAATTGGCCAATCAGATGGACACGCCCCTTTTAGGGAGGAACAAACACAGAAAAAAAGAAAAGCAAAATAATTTAATAAATTATTTCAAATTTATTCTGACTTCTTCAACAGCATCGTTATAACTGAAAGGAAATATTACACTATTAACACCTCCAAAAATATAGATCCCACCCCCCCCCCCCCAAGATGATAGGTCTCTGTCTGACCCCCCTCCTGAAGCAGACTACCTGACCCCCCCCCTCCTGAAGCGGACTACCTGACCCCCCC